GTTGCACAACAACGTCGTGAATAGAGCGGGGGCGCCCAGCAACTTGAACTTGCACCAGGGCGTTTGCCCGGGCGAACGACGCATGGAATGGCGAAAGCGGGGGGGGGGGCAGGGGCGTCGGCAGCAAGCTCAGGGGCAGGGTCGAAATTCACACCCTCGATGGGGAACCCGAGTTCCCAAGGCGATCGGCTGGGGTGGGCGCTCGATCAACCTCCGAACTGCCTGCAAAACCCCCTTCGAGGTGTGGCGACACTACTCTGCTGAATATCACGGTCGGCCTCGTGAAACCTAGACTCGCTGGCCCGAGGGCCCCCTTCGCCGGGGCCGACAAATTCGGCCCCAAGGTCGGCCTCAAAACCGGCCCCCGCGCCAAGCTGAGCTTCCGCGGGGCCGAGGTCGAGATCTCCAGGCTCGACGAGGTCCTGACGTCCTGACATGCGCGACTAGCGAGAAGATCGCCGAAGAGCTCAGCGCACTCACTCCTAACGCGCGCGCGTCTCTTCTCGGCGCGCTCAGCCAACCCACTCCACTTGGAAGCGGAAAGGGGGGGGGGGCAGGAGGAGGAGGAGAAGGAGGAGGAGGAGGAGTGAACGTCACCTGAGAGAGTCCAAGTCACTCGCCCGACTCGCAATCGCTGAATGGCGACTGCTCGAAATCGCGCGGCAGCTGCGACGGAGGTAAAATCGCGAGGGGGGCGCCGATCTCTCCCTTCATGGCGTGATGTATGTAGTAGAAGGCGAGGGGGGGAGAGCGAACAACACGAGCGAGTGAAAACCGACCCGCGCGCCCCTCTTCGCCGCCCAAACCCAGTCGAACTAACGCCTCAGGACTCGTTGGCGCCTGCGGGTCAGCCACAAGCTCGAGAAGCTTATCACCAATTAAGTAACGCTGCGCAGTCTACACAGTTCGGACACCCCAGTAAACAAGCATGATAACCTGGGACGACATGCATTCGATTGCTGGTGGCGCATGCCCCACTAAGAGTTTTCAGGACACACCGGTGCACCGCGGGCATGCATTTGCTGAGAAACGAACGAAGAAAGAGCTAGCGAGAGGAGCTCAGAGGTCAGGAGGAAGAGCAAGGTCGGGATACCACTCGAGCGCCTGCAAATCGCGTCGGCAGACTGCTCGGGATACATCTGCTGGGCCAAGGCAACACAAACAAGACGCTGCACCTTAGGTCCCGCGTTCCCCTCCGCCTCCGCCCGCGCGACCTCCGCCCTCCCCATCCACGCAGCAGTGCGCGGCATGCTTGCAGACGCTGTGCAGGACATGGAAAAACAGATCGGCTTGCACGAACAGCTGCCATCGAATCGTTGTACGATTGCCTTTTGCTCGCGCCACCAAGCAGGCGACTGGCGCTGGACAGCAAACGAGGGGAGCGGAGCGTGATGTTCTCAAGCTTCTCGCAACCTGCCAACTCCTCGAGGTAGTAGTGCGTGTCCGCCACATGGATGCAAGAGAACGCGGCAAGATGGCGGTGGGCCCTCCTCTCCGGTACCGCGCTTTCAAGGATAATACGTCAGAGAGTCCATAGCATTCGGGGAAAACCTGCAGAACTTATGCAATCCATGAATCTCTCTTCGCAGCAGTCTCGGGATGGGCAAAAACAGTTGGGAAACATAACTCAACGTGGGAAGGATCACAGAAGCATGCAAAAACGTAAGAGCAGAAGGAGGGGCACGAATTGGGCTGGCGAGATGAATCCGCTTCCACCATTTCTCAGACGGGGCCCCCCACTGCAAGTCAGCGGTCGCTCCTGGGCCGAGCCAGCCCCCGAGGTATTTCACCGCGTCCGAAACCTGAAACGCGCCCCACCCGTCAAAGGCCCCCGCGAGATCACGGCGGGTTTGGCTCTGCGCCCCTGGTGAAAACGGGGCCCACAACGATGCAGCTACACATTAGGCAGGCTGAAGCGCAAGGCCAGCGAGATTTTCAGCGAAGCCGGAAGTCTCGGCAATCATGATGAGCTGCGATGCGCACAGTAAAATCAAGCCCATGTCGTCTGCACACGCTTGCACCACACCATGATCAAGTGTAGGAAAAAGGCCGCTGCAGATGGCGGAGCAACGGATCCTTGCCCAGTGCCCAGAGACTGCCGGACAGGGGGCGCCCTTGCAACGCACCGCTGGCGAGCTCGCGCGTTGGCGCGAGTGGCATGTCCCCGAACCGAGCGAAGGCGATCGGAGCGTTGTAGAGCGCTCCTTTGGCCCAGAGGACGCCGATCGGCACGCCATAATGGGCTAATGTGAGCTCCAGCCAACGGCGGTTCAAGCTTGGAAACGCTGCTTTAAAGTCGAAGGAGAGGAGAAGCTGGCGTTTGCTTGATCCGCCCTCAAGCCAGCCAGCACGCCTCGCCTCCGCGTCAAGCAAGGGTATGTTGCCAACGGCGTTACGACCAGTGATATACCCTTGCTGACTCCGATGGACTCGCTGCTCTACAAGTGGCTTCGAAGTAGCATTGACTGCTGAACGAATCGCTTTCGCATCGTTGTTTTTGAAACTCAACGGGCGAAGATCCTGGCTCCGTCGAGCAATTCGAACCGCGTCCAGCTCGTCCTCCCCTTTTTGGAGGAAATCAAACAGCAAGCGATTAGCTTCACACGGTAAGCTGCCACCAGAATAGATGTGCACGCGAACGCGATGCAAGATAGATGTGTCAATGGAGTTGGAGAGCCAGGCAGAGCAGGGAAGACGATCAGGACCAGGAGCACTTGGCTTCGCACGCTGCAGCGCCGATGCCAGTACTTCCACGCTGGGCATGGGAACGTCAAAGGTGGGGGCAGGCGGAGAGACAGACTGCAGAAAGGCGAGGATGTCCGCGCCACGCGACTCGCGAGCTCCAAAAATGGGTTGCCAATGAGCTTGCGCTGCATTAAAAACTTCCGGATCATTCATAACAATATCAACTCTCTCGCCACTGTCGTCATGCAAGTGTACACGCACTCCATCTAAACGAAGTTGGCGAGGCCATGGCGTCCTCAAGCGGGCTCTGCGGGCAGCTGTTGCGCTCAATCTTATGATGGCAACCCTCATCCTTGTGCCGACCGGACTCATCATATTGTGAAACACTCATGCTAGCTTGCAGCGCGAGCCGCTGGTGCCACTCATCGAGGAGACAGACCTGACCATCAACGACGACGAGGTGAGAACCAGCAGGAGGGGCGGTGGCGATGAGGCGAGAGGCGGTGCGCACTTCGTTCCTCCAGAAAGCCCAAGCCATGGAGCGAAACAAATACATACGAGTGATCGGCGTTTCAGGATGAGCATTGTGCAGAGACTCGGGCACCTGAAGTTTGTCACGAGTGACAGCGGCGGCTTCATGCCTGACTTCCTTCACTCCTTGCCACGCCGCGATAGTATCAAGTTGCTCAAAATCTCTGCACGAGAGCACGTTGGCGAAAATATTTTGAAACTCCGCGGTGCGAAAGAAGTAGGACGGAACGGCACGCTCTTGCGGGGAACGAGCGGTGGACTGAGCGAGCTTACGCATGAGCACTGCATAGTCAGAAAGTCCACGGTCGGACATACGTGTGCATTCGTGCGCAACCTGCAACGTGGCATCTACCAGCATCGGCTGAGACGGGCACCCTGAGATGAAAACCCGATCGATGCGCGTCACCTGCATTCGATGAGAATCGTACCGAGTGGGTAAATCATTAGTAATCTCAGTGACGGAAGTAAACATGCGCCGCCACTGAGCTTGCATGTGCTGACCACGGTTATCGATAACAGGCAGAACCGGAGCAGGAGCAGGGCAAGGGGCCAGCGGGGCAGCGGGGATGATATTCAGGGATGTTAAAGTCGCCGAGAGCAGCGACCTTAAAGGTACGCTCATGCTGTGCTGCAAATGCGACTTGTTGAGACCAGAAGCGTTCGATTTCGTGCACATCGAGAGCAGAAATATGATGCTTGTGTACATTCAAAATACACATGGAATGCTCGTGCGCAGGGGACGAGACATGCAAGGCAACGGCACGGCCTAGGACGATAGTATAAAACGAATGTTGGCTTCAGGTGTTCAGGAGGGAGAGGAGGAGGAGGAGGAGGAGGAGGAGGAGGAGGAGGCGGAGAAGGAGGAGGAGGAAGAGGAGGGGGGGCAGGAGGAGGAGGAAGGGGGACGTCTTGGGGAGGGAGAGGGGCGAAGGGGAAGAGGCAGAGGGGGGCGGGGGAACCGAATATAAATCCAAGACGTACCAATGATGTTGCAACACACCCTTCCGCCCCAAGTCGCCTCCTCAAAAGCCATTGCGGGCATTCTGTTTCACTGTGCGGAGATTCCCTCTTGAAAGGCAATGCCGTTGAGCCAAGAACAAGTCAGCAACTCCGTTCGGAGAAGGAACTGCCCTCCAGCATTCGAGGCATACAGAAAACGGCGAGGTGGGAATGGAGAACCACTTTCAGAAGCCCCGCTTTGAGAAGGGACCGCCCTCCACCTGTGCAACCGAAGCATAAGACTAATCCTGGTCATGACATTCGAAATGTCTCAAGCGAGACCCCCATGTTGAAAAGGAACCGCCCTCCATCCGTGAAACGGTTGTATGTGTAAAGGCGAATGTGCGAGGCACAAGGCGAGCGCCCCAGTTTGAAAACAGCCCGCCCTCCATCCCTTTAACCGTTGGATTGTTTGAAACGGGTATGCTCGGCACCAAGGCGAGAGCCCTATTTCAAAAACGAGTTGCCCTCCATCTGCGTAGCTGTCGGACTTGTTAAACGAATGTGCGCGGCGTCAGGGCGAGAGCCCCATTTTGAAAACGGCCCACTCTGCGTATGTGGTGTTGGCTCTTCGAATGCTCCAGCTTCCAGATCATGAGCAATGGTGAAACCTCAGGCGACACGCCCGACTCGCCCTAACGACACGTCTGGTGGTGACGTCCAGAAGCTGTGTATAAGGAAAAGAGATGGGGGTGGGAGGGGAAGGAGAAGGAGGACGACGACGAGGGAGGAGGTCAGGAGGGAGGAGGCGTAAGGAGGACGAGGCGAAGGAGCGGGAGGGGCCCTCCAGAGCATGTCGTCGTCCGCCCAGTAGCTGACGATGGGGGTCATGCCGTCCAGAAGCGCGTGGGTCAGCTCCTGCCAGCCCGCGCGCCATGCTCCGCCCCGCGCTCCAGCCATTCGCAGAGGGGGCCGATTCACAGCAGAAACCATCGTCAGAACCACAATCCTCCTCCTCCTCCTCCTCCTCCTCCTTCGCCTCGGTTCGACTCTTCGCTGTCGCGGGGCTGGGCCCGCCGAGTCCGAACGCCAGATGGCCACACGAAAATGTCACAGAAGGCAGTGTGGGACTGGAAGATGGGAATAACGAAGAGCGGGGGGTGCGCTCCTCCTCCTCCTCCTCCTCCCCCTCCTCGTCCTCGTCCTCGTCCTCGTCCTCCTCCGCCTCGTCCTCCTCCTCCTCCCCCTCCTCCTCCTCCTCCTCCTCCACCTCCTCCTCCCTCCTTTTTCTCCTCCATTCATGTTCCGTATGAATAGCTCCTCCCTATAGCATCCCGAAGCCAGTCGGAATGTCGGGCCGGGCGTTTCGCTCGATACATCCTTACACTTTGAGCCTGAAGCTTACAAGCTGGTAGCAGCTTCGCAGATGGAGGGCGGGCCGATTCCAGTATGTGGTTATCGCCTTAACGCCGCGCTTACTCGTCTTAGAAATTCGCAATATACTCACGGATTGAGAGCGGTTCGTTATCAAACTGTAACTCTCACCTTCACGCCGCGCACATTCGTTATACGAATGTGAGTACGGATTGAAGGCGGGTAGTTTTCTAAATGTGGCTCTCGCGTGAGCTCCGCGCAGTCGCTTTACAAGTCTGCCAGGAGCTTCACATATTGAGGTCGGGGCGTGTCCAAAATGCAGCTCTCGCCTGAACGCCGCGCACATTCGTCATACCCATTTGCAAGAGCTTCACTGCTTTTTTATGGTTACCGTACCAGATGTGGCGTTGCACAACGACTCAAGATTGTCAGGGCGCCACCGTTACGTTGACCAGAACTGGTGTCTTGGCACGATTCATGATCGTCAAGACGCAACAATCAGGTTGACTCGTGGCGTGTAGATCCTGGGAATGGTGTTTTGGCACGCTCCAGGATTCCCCCAACGGGGCAATTCTCTCAGCGGAAATGAAGCCTTGTAGGGGGCTATGGAAAGTGAGTTTGGGAGGAAGGTGAATTCCAACATCGTTGATGAAACTTGGGTTTGCACGGGTCCTCCTCCAACTCCATTTCCTTCTCCTCCTCATCATCATCACGATCACCATCACCATCATCATCACCATCACCATCACCATCGTCATCATGATCATCATCATCATGATCATCATCATCATCATCATCATCATCATTATCATCATTATCATCATCAACCCAAGCAGCATCAGCATCAGCACCGTCACCAGCATCATCATCAGCAGCATCATCAACATCAGCATCATCATCACCATCATCGCCAACTACCACTATTCCTCCTCCCCCTCCTCATCCTCATCCTTCTCCTCCTCCGAGCTGCGGAAACGTCACCCTCCAGATGAAACGCGACGCTCAGATCTGAGGAAACGCGTTTCACGGGCGCTTGCCGTTGGAACATACGGCTACGCGTTTCGAACCAGGGGGGGCCCCCCAACACTTGCCGCCGTCGATCAGACACGGGGGACTCCCCTCCCCACTAACACCCCCCCTCCCCAAACCCCCCACCCCCTCCCAGGGAGGGGGGAGGTCCAAGCACCCCCCCCCTGCGCCAGCGCCGGCGCAGGCGCTGGCAGCGGCCAGCAGCACCGACGGCGGGGACGCAGCAACGATGACCAGAGGGCTCAGGGAGGGGAAGGAAGGGGGGGGTCCAACCCCTCCCCTCCCCCCTGGACGGCGCTGGCGCCAGCGCCGGCGCTGGCGGCGGCCAGCGGCCAGCAGCGCCGACGGCGGGGACGCAGCAACAATGACCAGAGAGGGCCAAGAGGCCGCAGAGGGGAAACACAAAGCGCTATACCGAGCCCTCGCCCCCCAAGAGCCACCGAGAGGCCCCGAGACCCCTCTGACAAGACCTCAAGAGGCGTCCATTAGAACTTAGACCCAAAGCCCAAACACAGTGGCGGGAAGACCCGAAAGCCACACCACCACCACCATCACCACAAACCACCACACCACCACCACCACCACCGCAACAACCACCACCACCACCAGAACCCGCCACGACCACCACCATCACCACAAACCACTACACCACCACCAACACCACCACCAAAAACGCCGCCACCACCACCACAAACCACCACAACCCACAACCACCACCACAACCACCACCACAAACCACCACACCACCACTACCATCACCACCACCACCACCACCAAAACCCACCACCACTACAAACCACCACACCACCACCACCACCACTACCACCCAACACCACCACACCACCACCACCCACCACACACCACCACCACCACCAGCACCACCACCACTGCCAGCAACACCGCCACCACCAACACCACAGCCCACAACTACCACCACCACCACGACAAACCACCAAGCCACCACCAGCACCACCACCGCCACCACCACCACCACCTCAACCCACCACCACCACAACAAACCACCACACGACCACCACCACCACCATAACCACAACAACCGACCACCACCACCACCACCGCAATAACCGCCGCTACCAACCACAATCTACCACACCACCACCACCACGACCGCCACAACCACCGCCACCACCACCACCAGCATAACCCACCTCCATCACCACCACCACAAACCACCAACCTTTCACCACCACAAAATCACCACCCAACCACCACCACCACCGCAAACCACCACACCAATACCACCACCACCGCCACAACCACCTCCTCACCACCAGATCAACCTACCACCGCTACCACCACCATCACAAACCACCACGCCACCACCACCACCGCCACCACCACCACCAGCACCACCTCCACAACCCACCACCACCACCGCCGCCACCACCACGACCACAAACCACATCACCACAGCCACCACCATAACTGCCACCACCACCACCACCACAACCACCACAACCCACCACCACCGCCATAAACCACCACCACTACTACAACCCAACACCACAACCACCACCACCGCAAACCACCACACAACCACCACCACCACAACATCCACCACCGCCACCACCACCACCACAACACACCACAACACACCACCACCACAACCAGTACCACCACCACAACCACCACGACAAACCACCACACCACCACCGCCACAACTGCCACCACCACAACCCACCACCACCACCACCACCACAACTATCACCACCACCACCAGAAACCACCAGACCACCACCACAACCCACAACCCACAACCACCACCAACACTACCACCACCAACCACCACACCACCACCACCACCACCATCGCCACAACCACCACCACCACAGCCCACCACCACCACCACAACCTCAGGGCCCCAAGAGCCGCCCAAGAGGTGCCCAGGATGCTTCACAAATGCCCTTCAGACCAGGATGCTTCACAAATGCCCTTCAGAGGCCCCCGAGAGCCCTCCGACGAGAACCCAGGAGGCATCCATCAGGACTCTGACCCAAGACCAAGGCATGATGGCGGTGCGTCGTCGCCGTCGTCATCGTCGTCGCCGTCGTCATCGTCGACGCTCCCCGCCGCCGCCGCCGCCGCCAGCCGCCACAGGCGCCGGCCTAGGAAAGGAGAACGTCGTCTTCATCGACGCTTTCCGCCGCCGACGCCGCCAGCCGCCGACGCCGGCGCCGGCCCGAGGAGAGGGAGAGATGAGGGGGGAAGGGGGGGTTCGAACCCCCTCCCCCCTCCGTCACGGGAGGGGGGGTCAGAACCCCCCCACCTTCAATCCAGGGGGGGTCCGGTTCCAATCCCTCCCCCTCCAAGCGCCCACAGAACGCGCCCTTTCTCAGATCCTAAACAAGCCCGAACGTAGTAGAGTTAGAGAATTAGATGGTGACGCAAAACTTCGCGGCGCTAGGACAAGGACTCGGGCAAGCCCCCCTTCGTTGTGCTCGCCGAGCTCTACATGGACCCGTTCGCGGTCATGTGGTCCAGGCCTGGCCAGGACCAGGTTTGGCCACCCGCTCACATCTCTTGCCCATAGCTGGATCTGTGGGCACCTGGTCCAGCTCAAAAAAACAAATCCTACTTGTGGTTCCCGTCCGTTTCTGCGTCATCATCCTTCTCCCTCTCTTCGCATCCTCACTCCCTCCCGCACACGCCCTGCCTCTAATCCCTTCGCCCCCCTCCCTCCACCGAATTAGACCACCCCCGCTCATTCTCCTCCTCCACTCCGGCACTCACCCCGGCCCCACCTTCTCAGCCTTCACCCACCAACGCGCGTAGGCCGTACCGCACTATTTTCTTCTCCCCCTCCCCAACTTGATTCCGCTCCCGCGGTGTCTCCTCCCTTCCGCCGCTGGCGTTGCTCGTCCGCCCCTTCCCCTCAACGCTGCCCGCAAAGATCTCCTTCATGCCACCCGCGTAATTGTCAACACGGGCCTGGAGCTGGCACTTGTGCTTCTTCTGGGACAAGGAGACCTGGCCATGTTTCTGGGCACGCTCTTTGCGGCCCCCGACAAGCAGCTCCCCCGCATGCCCCGATCTGGCTGTCCATGTAATCACAGCAAGGGTGGAATGGACGGTGGCCTCAAGATGAATCCGAGTACGTTACTTAAGAACCCTGCGCTGTCTGCTCGGGGAACTTTTCAAGAATGATGCATTCCGCGACCAGGTAATGCCAAACGATGCGAAGCGATGCTTGAAACGAGCATGCAGAAGCAAGGTGATGGAAATGAGCATGCAGAAGCAAGAAGAAAGTCCAGACCCTTCCCTAAAGCGATAGCCGTCCCAGCTCGGACTCTCGGCCCCACAGACCGATCATCATGAAAGCCTCTCATAGGGCCCCGATTCCCGAGGCCTGATCTGGAAGTGGCCGTCGAACCGGCCGCTCTGCGATCCCCTGGAAGCGGGGAGGGGGCACCCAGGCCTGCCGCGTAGCACTAGAGTGTTGGGGGCTGCAGCCCTCGAGGCGCCGAAGAACATCCCTCGAGGCGCCGAGACTCTAGTGCCTCCACCACGAACGCTGAAGACCAAGGGCCAAGGCCGGCCGCACCCAGAAAAGCGCTACCGCAGGTCATGCGCCCCTGGTCTATAGCGGTCAAAATGAAAGTTAAGCCCCACGATCCTCTTTCCAGCCCCAACGGCCCAGGCCGCGGGCGAGCGCCGGTGTGGCCTGCATGGCGACGAGCGTGCCGTGCCTGGCGCTTGGCGGCGGCGGCCGGCGACGGCATGCCCACATTCATGATCATCCAACGACTCGAGGCACGTTTTGCCAGGGTGCCTTGAGGTTGAGGAGACATGTCGAGGGTCTAGAGGGCTGAGAGCTGTCACATGAGACATGGTGATCGGTCCGGGGCAATCATACAAGACCTCTGGAACAATCGTAGGGTGATCTTCGGGTACAGCGATGAAGAGAGTATGATCCACAACAACGCAACATGAGTGAGCAAAAGACGGCATTGGGATACAATCGAGCCCATCTTGGGTAATTCCACTACGTGACTTCGTATCTGTTGTACGATATCGGACGAACGACCTGCCATGCTTGCCAAGAACTGCTCACACGCTCATATTTACACCATACCCATCTCTGTCTCGATGGCTCGTGGCGCGTGCAACTTGTCAAACCGTGTCCTGGTGGCGAGGACCTCGCATAGGCCTACCTGCCAGTCACATCACCAATATCGCGGGCGCGTCGACACAGCTCCATGGAGCCCCAGTCTCATCATGCGCATCTGCTTCTGGAAGTGACGACATAACTTCGTGTGACTGTGTTGGGCTGTTCACGCAGCTCGATGCTCCGGAACATCCAGCATGGCAGGCCTTCAGCATGGAACTGCGATTACAATATGTTTCGGCCAGCCCCTGGAGAGCACGATGGCAGAAACGCAGAAGAAACATAGTCCGTACACGAAAAATGAAGACCCTGTGGTAAGTTTCACCTGCGTCATCCTCCCCCCCCCCTTGCCCTGCCCCCTCACCTCGGACAGGCTGTTCTGTCGGAGCCGCATGTAGTTCCCAACCATCCTGTGGTTGGGTCCTCGTTTTAAAAAGACTGCGTCCCGCGTCCCACCGCCTCTTCTCTCCTCTCCTCCTCTTCCTCCTCCCCCTCCTTGGTCTGCCTGGCGTCTTCAGCGTAGCGCACGCCCCCAGCAACGATGCCCTCTGGCATCTTTTCGCGGACCTCCGAATTCCGAATTCCGAGTTCCTCCCCATCCTCCTGCTCCCGTCACCGCCCGCACTTTAGCACACCCCTCGCACGTTTCGTGGCCCCATACAGAGACCCATCGAAGGCAAACATTCCAGCGCTCGCATGCGCCCACCGCACCCATGTTGGTACGCCCCATCGCATGTTTTGTCGCCCCTGGGGAGCTCCACCGAAGGCTCAAATGCCAGCGCCCGCATGCGCCCACCGCGCCCATTTTGGCACACCCCTCAGACGTTTCGTGGCCCCATACAGGGACCCACCGAAGGCCCAAATGCTAGCGCTCGCATGCTCCCACCGCACCCATTTTGGCATTCCCCTCACACGTTTCGTGGCCCACATACAGAGACCCACCGTAGGGCCAAATGCCAGCGCTCGCATGCACCCACCGCACCCATGTTGGCACACCCCTCACACGTTTCGTGGCCCAAGTGCGCCCACCGCGCCCATGCTGGTACACTTCACACACGTTTCGTGGCCCCATACAGAGAACCATCGAAGGCCCGAACGCCAACGCTCGCATGCGCTTACCGCGCCCATGTTGGCACACCCCTCACACGTTTCGTGGCCCCAGGAGGGAGCCCCACCGAGGGCCCAAATGCTAGCGCTCGCATGCTCCCACCGCACCCATTTTGGCGCACCACTCACACGTTTTGTAGCCCACATACAGAGACCCACCGAAGGCCCGAGTGCCAGGGCTCGCATGCGCCCACTGCGCCCATGTTGGCACACCCCTCACACGTTCCGTGGCCCCATACGCCAAAATGCCAGGGCTCGCATGCGCCTACCGCGCCCATGTTGGCACACCCTTCACACGTTTCGTGGCCCCATCGGGAGCTCCACCGAAGGCGGTGCATACAACGACGGTGCATACAATTGCATGTGGTTGGGTCTTTCGTCAAGCAAATTGTCCAGTAGGCATGTTCGCAGTCCCAAACGACCATCAGCTAGCGCCGCATGGCGGCCTGCAAATGTTGCAGGGCTCCAGGGCTCCAGCATGCTTGGTCGAATGTTCAGAAACTGGTACCCAAGATGACCCGAGGCGTTGGCAGGATCCTCTAGGGGCTTCGGTGGCATCTGCCCCCCCAAACGATCACTATGACTTCCAATACCAATCCCGTTCCTCCTGGCCTCCTCCTCATCTGCTTCCTCCTGCCCCTTCTCATCCTCCACGTCATGTTCCTCCTACTCCTCCCCCTCTGACTCAGACTCACTCTCCTCTTACTCCATATTCCCCATCCTCCACCTCATTCACCCAATATCGTTTCAGCCAGCGCCGTTCTGATGCCGTGGCTAACCCCAGAGCCAACTTGCACCAGGTGGCTTCTCATGGGTCCCAGGGAGCTTCGGATGTGCGTGCCCGTACAGGGAGCATCCGACTTCGGAATGCGTCTTTGTGCCAGGCAGCTGCAGCTGTGACTCTCGACACGCCTCGTGGTGTTGAGGTCAAGGTCTCGCCGTCCTTGGGTATGGCGGCGCGGCGGCAGTGGGCAGCGGCATCCTGTCAGCCTTTCAGGTGCACCTGCGCCTACACTGCGGCAAGACCACTTACAAGACGAAGGCGGACGCGTTGGTCCTCCTCAGGCCACCCTGCCCAGTCGCCCTCCCCACGTCTGTCCCAAGGCCACCTCCTGATCCTGGGGGCGCAGGACCCGCGGGGAGAGGGTAACGGCGGGTGGTGATCGTTTCTTTCTGCCCAGCTATTTTTGACATCCGCCGATTGGCAAGCATCTGTTCAACGCCTTCGGCATGGCTGGCCCTCCTGTACATGCGAACAGAATGTTGCATCCCTCCACCGTCCTTTGAGAGAAAGGTGCATTATGTGTCTGTACATGTGGGCGGTATGCTGGTTCTCATAATGTGCGCCTCCTCGGCGAGTGTGAAGGTGCGCGTTTGGGGGCACGATTCTTGTTTCATGGAACACAAAGCCAGCGTGGAGTGAGCGACTGGGCTCACTCCTTCGGCATTCCCAGGAAATACAGAGCAGCGTAGTGCTGCAGTGCCTTCTGCCTCTCTTGATTGAGCCTGCGGGTCTGAACACGTTGAATTATGCCAGATTTGTTCTCAACAACCAAACACATTCTAGCAAACCGCTCCTGTCCGTAATATTCCTCCTCCTCCTTCTCCTCCTCCTCCTCCTCCTCCTCCTCATCATCATCATCATCATCAGCATCATCATCATCATCATCATCATCATCATCAGCATCATCATCATCATCATCATCATCATCATCATCATCGTCATCGTCATCATCATCATCACCATCATGATCATGATCATGATCATGATCATGATCATGATCATCATCATCCTCCTCATCATAATCATCATCATCATCATCATCATATCATCATCAGCAGCATCATCATCAGCATCACCATCATCATCACATTCGTCGTCCTTGTCGTTATCCTCCTGCTGCTCCTCCTCGTCCTCCTCCTCATCATCACCGACAGCATCACCATCATCATCCTCATCCTCATCCTCATACTCATCCTCCTCATCATCATCAGCATCAGCACCATCATCGTCATCATCACCATCACCATCATCATCAGCATCAGCATCATCATCAGCATCATCAGCATCAGCATCATCGTCATCATCATCACCACCACCACGATCAGCAGCATCATCATCATGATCAGCATGATCATCAACATCATCAGCAAAAGGCATCAATTCGCCGGCCCAACGGGCCAGAGGCGTGCTAAGATCTCCGGTAACTGGTAAACAGTATTTCTAGTTCGCGCGCGCGGGACGGCCCCTGGGGGTCCCTGGATCAAAAGTACCCCGGGCGGAGCCCGGGCGGAGCCCGGGACACTCCCCCAGATCCTCCAGGATCGCCCCAAGAGGGCCCCAAGAGGCCCCCAACACAATCCAAGAGAGGTCCGAGACGCCCGAAGATCGCTCCACGGCGCCCAAGATGGCCTCCAGACGGCCCAAGACGTCTCCAAGATGACCCAACAAGCCTCCAAGATGCCCCAAGAGACCTCCAGGAGCACTCCCAAGAGGGCCCCAAGAGGCAAAAATCAATGTTTTTTTCTTAGGTTTTGGACAGATTTGGGCGTTTCAACCTTTTCGGTTCCCCGACGCCCCTAAACGGCTCAAGAGGCCTCCAAGATCGCCCCAAGAGGGCCCAAGAGGCCCTCAAAAGGGCCCCAAGACGGCCCAAGACGGCTCCAAGACGGCCCCAGAGGCCTCCAAGACGGCCCAAGAGGGCTCCAAGAACGCCCCCAACACGGTCCAAGAGAGGTCCGAGACGCCCGAAGATCGCGCCACGACGCCCAAGATGGCCTCTGGACGGCCCAAGACGTCTCCAAGATGGCCCAAGAAGCCTCCAAGATGCCCTAAGAGGCCTCCAAGAGAATTCCCAAGAGGGCCCCAAGAGGCAATTATCCCGGCAAAGCAACCTAACATCGATGTGTAGGAGCACATCTGGAAGCATTCCCCTTAAGATTCGGATGAGAATCCAGTTGTAGAATTCTGCTGTTCTCGCAGTCGTAGTCGCATTCGCGATGACAGTCGCAGTGGCAACGGCAGTCGCAGTCACAGCCTCAGCCTCAGCCTGCCTCAGCCTCAGCCTCAGCCTGCCTCAGCCTCAGCCTGCCTCAGCCTCAGCCTCAGCCTGCTTCAGCCTCAGCCTCAGTCTGCCTTCAGCCTCGGCCTCAGCCTCAGCCTGCCTCAGCCTCAGCCTGCATCAGCCTCAGCCTCAGCCTCAGCCTGCCTCAGCATCAGCCTGCCTCAGCCTCAGCCTCAGCCTGCCTCAGCCTCAGCCTCAGCCTGCTTCAGCCTCAGCCTCAGTCTGCCTTCAGCCTCGGCCTCAGCCTCAGCCTGCCTCAGCCTCAGCCTGCATCAGCCTCAGCCTCAGCCTCAGCCTGCCTCAGCATCAGCCTGCCTCAGCCTCAGCCTCAGCCTGCCTCAGCCTCAGCCTCAGCCTGCTTCAGCCTCAGCCTCAGTCTGCCTTCAGCCTCGGCCTCAGCCTCAGCCTGCCTCAGCCTCAGCCTGCATCAGCCTCAGCCTCAGCCTCAGCCTGCCTCAGCATCAGCCTGCCTCAGCCTCAGCCTCAGCCTGCCTCAGCCTCAGCCTCAGCCTGCTTCAGCCTCAGCCTCAGTCTGCCTTCAGCCTCGGCCTCAGCCTCAGCCTGCCTCAGCCTCAGCCTGCATCAGCCTCAGCCTCAGCCTCAGCCTGCCTCAGCATCAGCCTGCCTCAGCCTCAGCCTCAGCCTGCCTCAGCCTCAGCCTCAGCCTGCTTCAGCCTCAGCCTCAGTCTGCCTTCAGCCTCGGCCTCAGCCTCAGCCTGCCTCAGCCTCAGCCTGCATCAGCCTCAGCCTCAGCCTCAGCCTGCCTCAGCCTCAGCCTCAGCCTCAGCCTCAGCCTCAGCCTCAGCCTCAGCCTCAGCCTCAGCCTCAGCCTCAGCCTCAGCCTCAGCCTCTCTCAGCCTCAGCCTCAGCCTCAGCCTCAGCCTCAGCCTGCAGCCTCAGCCTCAGCCTCAGCCTCGCCTCAGCCTCAGCCTCAGCCTCATCAGCCTCAGCCTCAGCCTCAGCCTGCCTCAGCATCAGCCTGCCTCAGCCTCAGCCTCAGCCTGCCTCAGCCTCAGCCTCAGCCTGCTTCAGCCTCAGCCTCAGTCTGCCTTCAGCCTCGGCCTCAGCCTGCCTGCAGCCTCAGCCTGCATCAGCCTCAGCCTCAGCCTCAGCCTGCCTCAGCATCAGCCTGCCTCAGCCTCAGCCTCAGCCTGCCTCAGCCTCAGCCTCAGCCTCAGCCTCAGCCTGCTCAGCCAAAGCCTCAGTCTGCCTTGAGCCTTGGCCTCAGCCTCAGCCTCAGCCTGCCTCAGCCTCAGCCTGCATCAGCCTCAGCCTCAGCCTCAGCCTGCCTCAGCATCAGCCTGCCTCAGCCTCAGCCTGCCTCAGCCTCAGCCTCAGCCTGCTTCAGCCTCAGCCTCAGTCTGCCTTCAGCCTCGGCCTCAGCCTCAGCCTGCCTCAGCCTCAGCCTCAGCCTTCAGCATTCAATTCAATGTGGCCCGGGAATGGAATTCTGGGAACTCGAAGAACACGAAGTGGCCTACAGTTGGCTCCGGGCATTCAAAATCATGCCCAGGAATGGAGTTCTGGGAACTCGAAGAGCACGAAGTGGCCTACAGTTGGCTCCGGGCATCCAAAATGTGGCCCGGGAATGGAGTTCTGGGAAGTCGAAGAGCACGAAGTGGCCTACAGTTGGCTCCGGGCATCCAAAATGTGGCCCGGGAATGGAGTTCTGGGAAGTCGAAGAGCACGAAGTGGCCTACAGTTGGCTCCGGGCATCCAAAATGTGGCCCGGGAATGGAGTTCTGGGAAGTCGAAGAGCACGAAGTGGCCTACAGTTGGCTCCGGGCATTCAGAATGTGGCCCGGGAATGGAGTTCTGGGAAATCGAAAAGCACGAAGTGTGTGACTGTATGCGAAAAACGATCCCCCCCGGCAAACCCCAACGGCCCCCCAACGGCCCCCAACGGCTGCCCAGACCCCCCTGTGGAGTAATGTGCTGCTCTCTTTTTAAGTCTACTAGAAACCTATCAGTCTTCGCTGTCAGGTAAAAACCTGTGCTTTTCCTTTGGTGTTGGACAGATTTGGGCGTTTTAACCTTTTCGGTTCCCCGACGCCCCTAAACGGCTCAAGAGGCCTCCAAGATCGCCCCAAGAGGGCCCAAGAGGCCCCCAAGAGGGGCCCAAGACGGCCCAAGACGGCTCCAAGACGGCCCCAGAGGCCTCCAGGACGGCCCAAGAGGGCCCCAAGAACGCCCCCAACACTACACAGCTCCCGACGCCGCAGCTCCACACTGCAAACGACCACTCGGACAGGCGACCACGGTGCGACATTATGGGCCAGCGGAATGAGCGAAGCGCTTAAATAACATCATCATCTACATCATCAGCATCAGCATCAGCATCAGCATCAGCATCAGCATCAGCATCAGCATCATCACCATCACCATCACCATCACCATCACCATCACCATCACCATCATCATCATCATCATCATCATCATCATCATCATCATCATCATCATCATCATCATCATCATCATCATCATCATCATCATCATCATCATCATCATCCGCCTTCCCCTCGCCTCCTCCTCCCAGCATGCCAATACATACCTCTCGTCCTTACCCAATGGCAAGTCAGTCACGTCGTGTTCTGTTAGGGATATCATAGCCACCCAGTGAGCAGTCACTGATCTCATTCGCAAGCGCCATCGACGAAGAAACGCGCCTGTCGATAGGGAAGGACACGGCGACATCAAACGGCTTGGCCGTATCCGCGGGCCCCACCAAACCAGGGGGCTTTGAGGCACTTGCGGTCGATGTGGAAAGCACTGCAGAAAATTAATAAAACTCGACGTGTTGCGAATAATTGAAAAAGATAAAAGGGGGAGAGACCCCCCCTCTGCAAACCGGCGGAGGGGGGGGGGCAGAGGGGAGAGGCTGTACAACTCCCGCCCACGGGTTCGAACTGGGCGGGGGTGGCGGCTCGAACCCGCTCTAATCGAATCCTGCCACTAGGGCTGGATCCAGTTCTGGTAGAAACATGCGAAGTCTCTATCAAGCTCGAACAGAATCCTGTTAAGGCGGAGTCCAGCTCTGTTGGAATCGCACAGAGGCTCGATCCAGCTCTAATCGAATCCTGCCACCAGCGCTGAAACGAACAGATCCCTAAAAAGGCTAGATCCAGCCCTTATCGAATATGACAGCTCTAATCGAATGTTACGACGGCCGGATGCAGCCATAATGGGATCCGACAAAGGCTTGATCCAACTGTAATCGAATCCTCCTGACTATTAGGGTTGGGTCCAGCTCTCTATGGGACCCACGAGGACTCGGTCCAACTTGAATAAAATCCTAGCATGGGCAGGATGCACTTCTACTGCAACACTACCAGGGCCCGGCTCATCCAGCTCTGATCTAACCTCTCTAATGCTGGAGTCAACTCTAATACAACCTTACTAAAGCCCGACCCACCCGTTGTAGAATTCTACATAGGCCAGGTCCAGCCCTGATCGAATCTCGAATCCTACCAAGACTGTATCCAGCTGCAATGAAACCCCCCTTCCCCCCCCACCACCCGGTCTGAAAATTACTTCCCAACCATCCCGCGGTGTTGGGTCCTCGTTTTGAAAAAACGAGGCCCACGTTCCTTTCCTTCCTTCCTCCTCCCCCTCCTCCCGTCACCCCCCTCACTTGGGCAAACCCTTTCACACGCTTCATGGCCCCATAGGGAACTCCTCCAAAGGCCCAAATGCTACCGCCCGCGTGCGTCACCCCCACCCAGTACAGCGCTTCGTGGCCCCATAGGGAGCCCCACCGAACTCCCCAGCGGTACCGCCCGCATGCGTCACCCCCACCCAGTACAGCGCTTCGTGGCCCCATAGGGAGGTCCACCGAAGGCCCCAATGGCACCGCCCGCGTGCGTCACCCCCACCCGGTACAATGCTTCGTGGCCCCACAGGGAGCCCAACCGAAGTCCCCAGTGGCACCGCCCACATGCGTCACCCCCACCCAGTACAGCGCTTCGTGGCCCCAGGCCCATAGGGAGCTTCATACAAAGACCAAGTGGCACCGCCCGCATGGGCCACGCCCATCCAGTACAGCTCCATGTGGCCCCATAGGGGGCTCAACCGAAGACCGCAGGGGCACCGCCCGCATGCGTCACCCCAACCCAGAACAGCGCTTCGTGGCCCTCCAGGTAGCCCCACCGAAAATCCCAGTGGCACGCCCGCGTGCGTCATCCCCCACCCAGTACACCGCTTCGTGGCCCCAGGAGCTCCACCGAAGGACCCACGGGTACCGCCCGCATGCGTCAGCCCCACCCATTACAACGTTTCGTGGCCCACTAGGGAGCTCCACCGAAGGCCCCAGCGGTACCGCCCGCATGCGTCACACCCACCCACTACAGCGCCTCGTGGCCCCATAAGGAACTCCCCCGAAGGCCCCAGTGGCACCGGCCGCGTCACCCCCGCCCAATACACCGCTTCGTCGCCCCATAGGGAGCTGCACCGAGAGCCGCAATAGCACCGCCCGCGTGCGCCGCCCCCCACCCAGAACAGCGCTCCGTGGTCCTATAGAAAACTCCATCGAAGTTCCTGGTGGCACCGCCCGCATGCGTCACACTTACCCAGCACAGTGCTTCGCAATCCCATAAGGAGCTCCACCGAAGGCCCCAACGCCACCGCCTGCATGCGCCACCCCCACCCAGTACAGCGTGTAGCGGCCCCATAGAGAGCTCCACCGAAGGCCCCAGCGAATGCACTCGCATGCGGTTCCCCCACCCAGCGCAACGCTTCGTGGCCTCAAAGGGAGGTCCATCGCAGGCCCTAGAGGCGGTGCGAGCATACGTTCCGCCCACCCAGCACAACGCTTCGCGGCGTCATGGGGAGCTGCGCCGATGGTCCCGGTGGCTGCACTACCCATTGCCCTGTTTCGTAGCCCCATAGGGAGCTCTACTGAAGGCCCCAGTGGCGGCCCCGCCCCACTGCGGCATACCCCTCGCACTTTTCGCGGCCCCGTGATGCATTCCGCCTAAAGCACCAATGGCAGCGCCCGCATGGCGGCTGCGCCTCACATCGGCGCGCCCTTCTCGTGCTTCACGGCGACCACCAGCCCCCAGTGAGGCCACCGAGGAACGCCGCAATCGCGGCGGCAGAGGCGCCGAGCGGGCCGGGCCCTCCCATCCCAAGCCAGAAAAGCTGCAGAGGACTCCGATGCGGACTGTGATAATGTGGCACGCTTTCAATCATCATCATCATCATCATCATCATCATCATCATCATCATCATCATCATCATCATCATCATCATCATCATCATGCCCAACGATGGTATTTCCGCGGCCAGGTCGGAGTAGGTCCATCATCATCATCACCATCATCAGCATCCTCACCACAATCATCATCATCATCAGCAGCAGCAGCACCATCATCAGCATCATCCTCATCCTCATCATCATCATCATCATCAGCAGCATGATTAGCATCAGTACCACCATGAGCATCTTCAGCAGCATCATCAGCAGCACCATCATTATCATTATCATCAGCATAATCATCATCATTACCACCATCATCATCATCAGCATCATCATCAGCATCATCATCATCTTCAGCATCATCATCATCAGCAGCAGCATCATCATTATCCTCACCATCATCAACATCATCCTCAGCATCATCATCATCAGCCTCTTCTTTCTTCTTCACCTCCCTCTGCACCTCCTCTATCTCTTCCTCATCCATGTGTTCCCTCAAGGGGGTCCAGAATGGCTGCGGGGGCATCTATTGGAATAGCCTGAGCTTTGACCCAACGTTTGGCTCCATGGGCATTTCCAACAGGCATGGGGCTGCAGTGGTTCGCCGTAGACGTCTTCTGTAACTGCTGTACCGCAGTCGACTTATGAGCAACACAAAAAAACAATGAACTACGCGAGAGACCTATTCCGCCCCCTAATGACCTCGTCATTATCGGACATAGTCGCCTGGAAGTTCAGTATGCAGGATCCCTGTCGAGAGGTCCACAAGAAGCCCCTAAGTCGCAACTACCTGGATGACAGTTCCAAGAAGCCACCAAAAGGCCAAAGAAAACCCCGCGCGGTCCTAAACTGTAGTCGAACTGAGAACGAGAGCTTAGAAGGGAGGCCACTGAGGTCACAAATACCCTCGGGGTCGGCCCGAAATACCATAAAGGAAAGCCCCCGACTGCGCAACGTACGACGACGCGGCACCTCCTGGGCCGAGATGGCCCCAAATGAGTCGGTATGAACCTGGGAGGGTCACAGCAAATTCCCCACATGGAGGGATTTTCAGGCCAGGGGTCTGGCGGCCGGGGCTGGATGCCTCTAAATCGATACAGCTTCCGCCGATGCCATACTCCTCGCCCACTCTCCGAAGCAACTTGCTGGAGCTTTGCAAGATGGGTAATGGGATACCAGCGCAAGATCAACACGCACGTGGTAAGGTGGAAAAGAAAGACCAGCAGGATCAAAAAGTATGAGGAGGGAAGACTGCTGGAATTACACTCGCGAACCAACCAGCAGGGACAACTGTTGAACACTGTAGCCTACCAGGAAAGTAGCCCAACGAGTATGTGTCTTCAACGTCGTGGTTAGCTAATCTCCGTTATTCTTATGATGTTCACATCTTATCATCGACGGTTCGAAAATTAAGACACCTCCGCTTCGGGAAGCTGTCGTCCTTCGTTGCCCACCTTGATGTGTGATGGTAGATTGCACGCCACGCTTGACCCTGTCAACAGCGTGAGAATCAGGGCGATGCTTACATTGCACACCACGATCTGGCTCACTCGACTGCCTGGAGATTCACATTCCACAATGACTGGGCACATCGTCAACCCAAGTCCCCTGTCCTACACCATCTAGTCTTTGCTCCTTTGCTCAAGGGCGACGCAGGAGCTGGAGACGCTGTAAAACACATTACGTTTTAGCCTTCGGACTTCGAAACTCTGTGAAACACAAAATGTTCTAGCCTTTCGAGCTGTTACACCTGTATCACACGGTTGCTTCTGCCTTCGAAGCTGGAAAAGCTGTACAACACAATAATATCAAATTGTCCGGCGTGGATAATCTGAACATACAAGGTCCGTCGGCCGTTATGATCTGCCCTGTAACAAAATGAGAAAGGAAGAGGATGAACAGAAGGAGGGAGATAAAGAATGAGGAGGAAGGAGCAGCAGCAAGAGGTAGGAGAAGGAGCAGGAGGAAGGAGGAGGAGGGGTGAGGACGAGCGGAAGCATGTATGACCATACATGCGTGTGTTTGGGGGGCGATCGTGTACACATTACGCGCGAGCGCGTAGGTTCTAGTCAACTCCGAACACCTCATCGTCGTCCTTAATCTTCTTATTTTCATCCAACCTCATGGCAAGCATAATCCAGGAGGCCACGAACGCGGGAATGGGGTCGTCGGCGTCGACGGCGTCAGCTGCGTCGGCATCGTCGGTGGCGTCGTCGTCGTGGTCGCGTGAGGGGTGGAGGGAAGGAGACAGAGAAGGAAAGGGGAGGAAGGGAAGTAGGGAAGAAGGGAAGCAGGGATGCAGGAGAAGAAAACAGGGAAGGAACATGATAGGGAGCGATGGCTGGATTCGCTGAGGAGTATCGTAGGGATTAGTCTTGCCTCCCAGTTGTGTATCCTCCTCCTCCTCATCATCATCCTCATCCTCTTACTCGTTATCCTCATCCTCATCTACCTCCGCACCCTTCCTCACCCACTTGCACTCCTCCTCCTCCTCATCATCATCCTCCTCCTCCACCTCGGTCTCCAAGAGGCTCTCTGAGGATTCTGAATTCAGCATCGTTGGTCTTCCTGCTTAATGGACTTCCCTTCTCCCGACTGTTTGTCTGGGCACCGCTTCCGGGGTGGGCTGCTGGGGACGCGGAAAGCAGAAACCGATACATTCGCCCATCCAACTTTCGGGGGTCAGCGGATTGGCGCAAGCTTCTTGCACAGTTCGCAACATGTGCACGTGGTGAACACCCTGCCGCTCACATTGCATTCACATCCCTCGCCCGCGCCGGCCTTCTCTGTCCAATTGCGAGGACCATTCCAGCCACTGCCGCCACCCCTGGCGAGACATGCAACAAGCATGGTTGAGCAATATGATGGCGATGAGTTCTTCTGTTTCTGTAAGGCCCAAGAGCGCATCGGGTAGTCAAGCGACATATTAACGAACCAAGGAGTGCCAGTCTCTAATTCAAGGCCGCGCCCCCCAAACGTGTGATCAAAGGTACCACGAATGAACGACCACTTGTACAATCGGCGCACGTCACACGGATGACAAAAAAGGATGCAAGACCATGTCGTAACCCGCACCCCCAAGGGCTGGCCAGCGAAATTTGCTAAGAATGAACTGTCGTTGGAAAATCACACCATCCTCGTTCTGATGGGCGGCGACTGTCACAAATCGGGCAAACCCCGTCCAAACCCGTGTCTCACGCAGCCGACTTAACGCACGGGACTGCCCTAGCCCGCCCGACAAAGAATTTGCCCCCGAGAGGCTCCAGGATTTAGCCCAGAGGTCCCAATGCGGTCCGAAGATTGCTCACCATGGTCCCAAGCTGGCCCCTGGAAGCCCCAAAATCGCCCAAACCCAACAAGTCCGAGCCGCAACCCACCCCGTGCATCACCCAACGCACCCACCCACTCAGACCAATCGGGGATGGACCACTGCAGCTTGTGCGGGGACTACCCAGCGCGGGGCGGTCAGGGTTGTGGGTGCCATGACAATGGACACCCTAACAGTCCTACCATGCAATACTTTCAATCTTTAGAAACTGAATAATAATTGTTCGATGGCTTTGCTAAACATGCTTTACATGTGTTATCATCTGGAAAAGATTTGGCAACATACCTCCTCTCCATTGATGGTATTCCACAAAATCAATGATAACTCGTATCTGATAGCGCGTGTCGAACGGACCCCGCCCGCAACGGAAACGCGACGGCTGCCTCGACGCACGGTAAAGCACTCGTCCACAAAGCCGGAAAAAAACACGAGAGAGGGAGAGAGAGAGACCATGCCGCAGAAGCCACCCATCGTGGAGAAGAAGACGGGCCAGGCGTTCGCTGGATGCTGACGAGTCAAGGCGCAGGGCTGCGAAACCAACAAGGACCATTTTCGATCGGCCCAAAGTGTCTCTGACATTACGAATACGAGCAAGTGCAGCATTGCCCCCCCAGCTAACCCGAGTCGCAAGGTCTCGCGAGCGACCGTCAAGACTCTCTCAGGGTAGACCGGCTGGGAATGAGGACTGGACATCAGAAGCGCGTGTTAAACCTTAAATTGCAAACTGACTGGCCCAACTTGCCTGTACTATGCGGCCCAGGTTCCCAGACACGAATGCGCCCAAGCAGCACGCAGTGTGTTGTTCTGGGATGAGGGACGGCGGAATGAGGAAGACGACGTGATATTTGATCGTACGTTGACGTGATGTTTTCCTGCCAAGAGAGAAGGGCTTGGGCACAAACGCCAGTCGCGACGCGAATGCACTCAATCTGACTGCTGCTACATTCTGGGCGTGCCCCCCCATCCGTGTAACTGTTGGGAGACGCGACAACTGGTCAGCTCTACGCCGCGCCACGCTACAAAGCTTGCGCAACAACGCTCTGGATGCCTTTATCCCACTTTGCGTGGGATAAGTCATGTCTCTGCCGGCTGGGGGTTCCCACAGCTTGCGTCGATGTCTGCATTAAACATGTGGGCTCGACACCCCTCCATCGCTGCCGGCCCATCCTGGGCCAAGCGACAGGGGGCGTCACATGCAAGAAAGCAGCCAGGCGATGCCAAAGCTCCGGCGGTCGCCTCCTCCCCTCGTCCGAGGGTCTGTCCCTACTCTCACCAGTCACTCAGGATCACTCCCGCCTGGTCGAATTGAGCTCCTTGGCCCAACCAGGCTCACGTCTTCCCGCCTGCCGGCGTGCGCGGCGAGGCTCAGTGGTGCCGGGCTGCCCGCGACCACCCGGACAGAGCGACACTCTTGACCGCCGCCTCGGGCCCAACATGGCCCGCATGGTCACCTCAGGGCACTCCTAGGCGTGAACCTCTCAATCATGGGCGGTCCTGCCCGCGCCCTCCTGGATCGTCTGCGCCGGCGCGGTGCTACCCGCAGCCATTGTTGCATCAAACGCGTCGGTCGTTCTCAAGATGCCGTGCGGCGCTACCCGCGACCGCCGCGTCGAACTAGTTATTTTCCAGGCGCGGCGCGGTGCTTCCCGCGACCGTCGCATCAAACTCATTGTCTTCCGGACGTGGCGCGGCGCTACCCGCGACCAACAGCCAGACGGAGTGCGCGCCCCCCTCCACGGCCACAAATGCCAGGGTGGCATGCAGCCAGCGTGCGCCTTCTCCGCACCTGTGGTGTCTGAGGCGCGCGTGGACTCAAAGCATGCAAATTATATGCGCATTCGCCGCCTGCCTCGCCCCTCTCGCAAGCGGCGAAGCGGAAGTTGCCTGACTAGGAAGTCCAGCCTATCGGCTGCAGGCGCCTTCGTGCCGATGTCGGCCAAATTCAGGAGCGCGTCCACGATCGCGAGCTCGAGCTCCCTGTTCCTCAGTGTTTCCTGCACCCGCAGCTCCTTGATCGCCGAATTCCGGACCTTGCCGGACCCCGTCCGGGCGCAAATGCCTCGCGCAGCCGAGCTGTCTGACGCCGCGAGCAGGTCGCTCGCCAGGCCCATGTGGCATAAGATCTGGCTCGTCCGGTTGCCGATCGCCACCGCGCGCGCGATGCCGGAGAACTCGGCCTCGCCGCTGGCAACGCGATCGTCGCCTGCTTGGCCGCGCTGCAATCCAGCATGTGGTCCCCGTACCGCTCCACCGTGCACGATGTTGACTTCGTCGGCTCGTCAGCTGCCCAGTCCGTGTCCGCGTGGACACACAGGCCGCCGGGCTCCTGCTGATACCTGAAGAGCCGCACCTCCGTCAGAACATATATGTAGCGCGCCACGCGCTGCAGCTGCAGGCCGCGCAACACCTTCGGCATGCCCGTCCCGGCCATCACCTGCGACGTGGCGAACTGGGTGGTTGGGCGGTTGATGGACAGGTGCAGCGAGGCGCCCGCGCCCTGCTTGAAGGTCGTCGCTGCCTCGCCCTCCAGGTCGTCGCCCCTGTCGCGCCTGCCGGCCGCGGTCGACCTAGACGACGGCGTCGGTGCTCCTCTCGAGTCCTTGTCGCGGCCTGCAGGGCCAGGAGGTCCCCCCCACGCTTGGGATTCGCCCCCTATTCGAAACCTTCAGGTGTCAAGCAAGCTGCCCTTCGGCTACCTCGCCGCCGCGCGCCGGCGGTCCGATCCGAGGCAAAATCTTCGCATCGAAGTTATTCGTCAGCACCCGGTCGATCATCGAGGGCGGAAGCCGTGCCTGCCGTCGGGAAGTCGTCGCCGTGGCAGCACGTCACGTACCCGAAGCTGTCAGAGACGAACATCATGGGCACCGCTGCGACCTGCCTGGCGCCCTCGAGTTTCATGGCGTCGGTGACCTCGTTGCCCCACTCGCTGGCCTCGCGCGCCCCATGCATGGCCTTCAAGGCTCGCCAGCCCACGCCCGGAGATGCCAAGCCACGAGGAGGAATGATTACCACCATCCCCGAACCGGCGGCGCGGAAGAACGCCGCTCGGATGTCGCGCCGGCCAATCAGCTTGTCGCGCTGCCCCTTGGGGTTGATTTTCGTGGCCGCCACGCTCGCGATCACCCTGGGCGCCTTGATCGGAGGCGTGGCCTGGGTGACGCCCCCCCGGCTGTAAGTGTTCACCTGCGTCGCCGCGAGCCTGGGCCTGACCGCCTGCTCGTCCTCGGCGGCGGGCTTCTCGTCGCCCAGCCACTTGGAGTAGACGATATCCGGGCCGCGCGACCGAGCATCCGCGATAGAGATCGGCTCAGCGACGCCGAGCCTCTCCATGTGCGCGAGCTCGCGGACGCGCCCCTCGTGCACCTTCTGCTTGTCCAGCGCCTTGCCGCTCCTGACCCCGTAGTGCGCCCGCCCCCAGTCGATGATCTTCCGGGCCCGCTCCGAGTTGTCCAACTCGGCTGCGGCAAAAAAATCCGGAGGGCACGTCCAAGTTGGGATACTCGGGTTCCCCCGCGTGGAGTGTCGGCATGCCGGCCAAGATCTTCTGCATTGTTCTGGCCGTCGGTGGTCGCGCCCACCTGCGCGCCCTCGGCCGGGGAGGCATCGGGAGGGGGGGCGGATTCACCCGCATCTCCACTCTGCTCCATGGGAGCGGGCCCCCCAGAGCTCCCTGCCGGCACGCTGCTGGCGGCCGGCGCGGGGCTGTCCGCCGCCGACGCCGATGCTGACCCGGCAGCGCCTGCCGCCGATCCGCTTGCAACTCCTGCTCCGGGCTGCTCCGCCGGCGCGGTGCTGCCCGCAGCCGGGGCCTCCGCCACGGCTTGAGACTCCCTGTCCCTGATCTCCTGGAAGCGCGCCCGGCACTGAAGCGAGTGCACCTTCGCGCGTCCGAAGCGCGCCGGGCACCGCGGAGCGCCACCGTGCTGGATCTGCCTGTCCAGCGTGATGTAGACGCCCCTCGGAGCAGCCGCTCTCGGCGCATCGCGGGCGCCCCTGGGACTCCAGGGCTCGCCGACCAGATCCCCCGGTCCCAGCGCGCACTTTCTGGGCGCTTTCAGATGGACCGGCATCGGCGCGCCCCGGCGGGAGTGCCGACGTAGCGTTCGTCGGAGGCCAAGCTCCTGCCGAGCCACGCGCCCAACATCCACCTGTCGTCCAGCTTGGGCATGTCGGACGCCTTCTGCGGGCCCCGGTAGAAGACGGACTCGCCGAACTCCGAAACCTGGCCTCGGCGCAGTCGACCACGAAGCCTCTCGCAGGCCGCCCTGCCGTCCGCTTTGACCTGGAAATGGGCCAGAAGCCAGGCAGCCTGCCTGACCATGGGCGGCAAGATCTTGTGCTCCAAATCCACCGTCAGGTTGCAGCACTGCTCGAAGCGCGACCAGAGCGCCCGCAGCTGCTTCTCAACCTCGTAGCTCGCCCGCTCGATGCCTCCATCGCTGGCGCCGGCCCCTTAGGGGTTTTCAGCGGCGCTGTCTCGTGGGCGCGACTGTCCCGGGCGTTGTCGGCCAGCTTCTTGACGGCGCCCTCCTGGTCGCAGAGAATCGCGGCACGCGCCCGGCCCGTGAATTTCAGAGCCCTGGCAACTGCCATCGCGGACGGATCGCCGCCCGTGACCACCGTCGCTGCGAAGCGGACTTTAACCGCCGCGGGTCGATGGCCCTCGCCGGGGAGAAAGAATCCACGGCCAACCTTGCCTCGCCCTCGGTTGCGCCCGGGCGCGGTCGATGAGCGTCGTCGCTGGCCTGGCCCGCTGCGCAGCGGGGGCGCCACGAACGAAAAGGCAAGCGCGTGATTTGGCGGGTGTCGAATTCGAGCTTCGACACCTCTGGAGGGAGCTTCTTGCGCGAAGCGGCGCGGCTCTCCTCGCTCTCCGGCAGCCGCGCCCGGGCGGGGCTGCCCGCGCCCAGACCGCCGCTGGAGGCCCATGCCTGCTGTTCTGGCTCCTGAGCTGGAGCCTGCGCTGGCGCCCGCTGAACTTCAGCCGCCGGCCGCGCGGGGCGCGAGGGTGTCGCGCCCCGCGGACCCCCCGCTTGGCACGGCTGCCAATGCGCCCCGCAGTGTTTCTCCAAGTTCACCGCGTTAGGACATTGGGGAATCCGCAGGAGGTCCGGAGGCGCCTCGCTGGGAAGCATTACCTGGTGACCCGTGCCGAAGAGGAACAAATTGCTCTTGCCAGCCGCCTCCCCGACGCTCACGATCGCGAACTTCACCTCTGCCTCGTTGCACCTCGCCGTGACCTGCCGGCCGCCCTGCAGACCGAAACGGGACTGCTTCCCACTGTCGCCGACGACCGGGTCGTCCGTCGCCGTCGCGAGCCGCGCTGGGCCTACTGTCGAATCGCCCCAGGCTGCCGGGTCGAATCCGCGCGGGGACACGCTCGCCCCAGCACAAGTGTCGATCATGAGCTACTTCGTGTCCGTCCGTGTCGCTGCCAATGGGACGGGTCCGTCCGCGTCGCGGCCCGGCACGGCCGGCGCGCAGCCGCTACCTGCTGCGGCTGTGGGCAGGGCTCCTAGAGGACGAACGTCGACGTGTGCTGGCTCTGCAGCAGCGCCGACAGTGGCTGTCCTGGCGGTGGCTGGACCGGCGGCGGCGGCGGCGGAACGCCCGAGGTCGACGGCGCGCTGTGCCCTGAGCGGCCCCCGCCTGTTCTCCGCCGCGGCGAGGTCTCGATGCCTCTTCCTGCAGTCGGCCTTCACGTGGTCTGTCCTCCTGCGATGGAAACACTCCTTCTCGGCGTTCGGGTTCTCCCCGCCGTCGGCCTTGCCTCTCTTGCCTTTGCCTTTCTTGCCAGCGCCCTTCGGATCATTGCCCCCTTTTCGGCTTCCCGCCTGTGGGGTTCTTGCCTCCCCTCGAGATGGTTTCGAGCTGCATGGGCGTCGGCTGCGAATCGACGCACTGCTGGGCCCGGGTGATCTCCGAGATCTCCTCGCGAATATTGGGCCGCGCGTCGAGGCCGGCGCTGTCCCAAATCAAGTGCTCCTGAGGAACCTGGAGTCCTCCATTCCCAGCATCACCGCGCCGATCTTCTCGTTGTCGTTGATATTATTGCTGGAGTGGCTCTCGTAGTCCCACGCGAGGCGCTCGAAGGCTTCGAGAGCGCTGGGAATGTCTCCCGTGGACTTGTAAGCCATCGCCTGCATGCGAAGACCGACGAACCGGCTCCTCAGCTTCGGCTCCCACTCCAGCACGAACTGGCGCCACGCCTCGAAGGCCTCGTTCACCCCCGCGTTGTGGCACTTGTCCAGTGCCGACCCGGACGCGGCCATCACGATAATGTAGTACAGCTGCGTGCTGAGCCTGGCGACGTCCGGCTCCATCGTGGCGTTCCGTATCGTCACCTGCGACTGCTCTGCCTCCATCAGTTTGTCCTGGTACCTGTGGTCCACGGCGCCGACGTAGGACTTCATCTTGAAGATCCAGTCCGCGAACTTCGTCACGTCGCTTGCGAACTCGCCTGGCTTGCCGATTACTCTGGTGTCGACCACGCCGCTCGGAGGGGGCGCCGGCTCCACGCGGGGCGCCTTCCTGGCCTGCCGGAGCTCTTGCTGGAGCTGTTGCCTCTCTCCCTGGAGTTGCTGCATAACGTTCTCCTGTGCTTGCAACCGGGCGTGCAACGCCTCCATGGAGGCGCGCAGCTCCTCCATGGTACCAGGGTGCGGGGCTACCCGCTACCTGGTGCTGTGTCGCTCGCCTAGGCGCGGGGCCGAGGCGCTAGCCTGCGCGCCGAACCACGGCGCACGCGGGCCGCAGCCCTGCTGGTGAATCGCTGCCCGCGCTTGGTGGGCGTTGCGGCGATCAGGACTGCCGAGCCGTGTTACCACGGCTCCGCTATCATGACGTGATGCTTTCCTGCCAAGACAGAGGGGCTTGGGCACAAACGCCAGTCGCGACGCGAACGCACTCAAACTGACTGATGCTACATTCTGTGCGTGCCGGCCCATCCGTGTAACTGTTGGGGAATGCGACAACCGGTCAGCTCTACGCCGTTCCACGCTACAAAGCTTGCACAACAACGCTCTGGATGCCTTTATCCAACTTTGTGGGATAATTCATGTCTCAGCCGGCCGGGGGTTCCCACAGCTTGGGTCGATGTCTGTATTAACATTGTGGGCTTGAAAACTAATTTGGATATCCAGCCGCGCTGGCATACAATTTAAGACCTCCACTGACAATGTCGTGCTACAACATGGAGGTCATGTACAACCAGCACAAGTTCTCCATGCCTCCAGTCAGGGTGTAAGGATGAATCCCAAAAACATGCTGGCGCGGCAATGCTTGATATACATCATATCGGGACACGTATGGATGGCCCAGGCCTGTTGGCAAAAACTAAAGCGGTCAATGGAAGCTCGAACCAAATGCACGTGGGCGATCGCCGCGGCAAACCGCAGGACTGGCGTGGGGAACCCTTGGCCGCCGCGCTCAACGTTAACATCGCGTCCATTAACTACATGATGCGCTGGTGCCTGAGCCGCTGCTTGCCGATTTAGAAAGGAACCCACTGGATCGTGATGATTGCCAAGCAACACTAGATGGCCCAGGCTACAATGACGACCACGTCGAAGCCGCAGAAGGTAAGGGAACGGGAACGGTGCCACTTACTAGGCCGCGGCCAGATGAGCACAGGTTTAGACCCAGAAAGTGGCGAGGAGCTGAGGATACAGAGAACGACTGCTCAGCACAAGCGTGAGCTTGAGACCACATGGCGAACGGATCTACCACGCTTCCCTGTGCCTCTTCAGCATGTGGCCCAGACCGCCCAAATTTACTTAGCAAGGTCACGCGTGGCATCTGCCCGACTCTGGCGCTCGATCCACCACCCCATCTTCTTTGAACGATGGCCTCCAAAATGGCCCCAAGAACGCCCCACAGGCCCGCAACAGGGCCCTTTGGGAGCCCCAAGAGAGCCCAAAGAGGACCGAAATAGAGCCCTGGAGGCCTCCAAAATGGCCTCAGTAAGCTGCCAACCGGCAAAGATCAGCGAAGGCATCATGGTTGACTTCTGGGCTTGCACAGGCCGATCCCGATCTGCGGATTGACGGCTGCTTCCCCTCTTTGCTCCACAGCTCGCTCCCACGTATACCTTATCAATGCAACTCTCCTGGAATGTGCTGCTGCATGGGCTGGTGAGGATACGCGAAATATCATGAGTTGACATCTACAAGAAGCAGCAGGGTGGTGTGAATAGGAAAGCACTGAGGGTATCGCCACTAGGAAGGACCGAACTTGAAGACTGCTAACCATCAATCGAAGGGTAATGCCCCAAAACAAACACAACTATCCTGTTCATTCTGGCACCACGCGTACCGCAAATCCATCACATGCCACCAGACCCGAGGCCAAACCATCCCCCAGGTCCACCCGCAAAAATTTAGTCGACCAGCACCCCCAACAAAATCATACATCGATACTTGCCGGTTCGCGCAACAGGCGTGGATAGCCAAGGAGGTGGGCGTGAGATGTATCCTGGGGTTCCGATCGCCAATGCACTCGAGGCTCCCAGGCGAGCACATGTACTACCCACCGCCTGGTCCATCCACTCCTGTTGACTGCGCTGACAGCCTGAATCGGGAATCTGAGCTGGCGGACCCTTCGGACCCAGAACGCCCACGTGGGGGCAGACCTCGAATAGGCACACGCTGGGCAAGCTTCAAATATTATGATCCCCGTCGCGGCGGCGGGCGGGCGCGCCCAAATCCGGACGCGGCCCCGTCGGTGTCGGTCGCCGTGTGCAGCGTGGAGTGCCAGGCGTGCTGGTTGGCCTGCCGACGCGTATGGTTCGTCGCATGGCCGCCGAAGCATCGCAGACGTCGGTCCACCCTGGTCGCTGACGCGATCTCAACCACAGTCAGGGTTCGACCCTCGCACGGGCTGACAGGTCATAAAATGACGACAGGACGCCGCGCGGAAGACACGACGAGCGTCCAGGAGGGCGCGCGAAACTCCCCGAATCGCACGACGGTTCCTCGCCGCCCCCCCTGCTCGCCCCTCTGCACATCCTAGCGAAGAAACTGCACGAAAACGAAACAAGGATGCTATATGATTTTGTTTTAACAACTGTGGTCAACGATCGCTCCAGTGGTGGTAATTGAACCAAACTGCGTTGGTAACAACAACTGTTCGGCACATATGTACTGATAAACTCCCCACCCGGCCATTAATGGCATATAGAGGCGAAGGGGGGAAATATTAGACAGCGCGCGGGATGAGGGCTGACCGCAAAAATTCAACTAGAAAGTGGAAGGTGGAAGCAGCGGCCGAGTCTCCAACTCAGCAAGTTACAATGACGCGACAGTCGACAAATCATGCGAACTTCGCAGAATGCAGAGCGACTAAGATTGGGGCGGAAACGCGCAGGGGCTTTTCTAAAGCGTCGTGAAGTGTCAAACCACGCAATATACATAGCATGTTCGGTCATAGATCCGGCAAGCTGGCGGGAAACGGAAGAAGCAAGAAAAAACACCCAGCGCTGGTAACGACGGCTGGCGGATCTGGGAGGCGCGGCAGCGTGGCGACCCCGAGCACGGACGTGCTAAGGGATGTTACCAGAACGGACAACCAGGCAACGATTCAATCTCGTCAGCCTCGCCGTGCTCGTCCCGCTTAAGCCAGCACCCGTCATCACTCTCTTTACCCGCCTGGTTATGCTGCTGTCGATCAAGCTGTCGGAACGCCCCATCGCCCCCCCAGAGCGCGTTGTCTGGGTTGCGAACGTCACAGGGGATACGAACAGTCATCTCCCTCATGCAGAGTAGCATCTAGCCCGACAACAGACCTGCTAACCAGCGCCCCCCTTTCAACCACAGCTCGAAGTCGCGCGCTGGCAACCACGCCTGCCAGCGCACCGCCACCTTCCTCGCCCTGCAATGGCGGCGGACGCCAGGCCCCATTCACGGGGCCGCGCAAAGGCGACCAACGAAAACCAATTGGGCGCGCGGTATCACGGCCATGATTTCCACGCGGCACCAGCAAGTGCCCGGGGCCCGGCGCGGAGCGCGTAACTCATCGCCGCTCACTGCTCGCGCGCGTCGCATTGCTCGCAATGCACCACGACCCCGTCCGTCAGTTCAGCACAAAATTCGGCTAACTCCTCGGTCGCGAACCTCCTGGTAGCTGCGCAGGCGCTGATATCGCCATGGTAGGCGTGAGACTCTTCGCAGATAGCCTCGGTCGCGAGAACCACCGGGTTCCCTGGCCACGGAATACCGAACATGGCCCCGAACAAATTTAAGCCATTGACCCCCCTGCATCTCGGAAGCAGCCTGGATGAACACCTATGTTTGGGGAACGCACTTGCGGAGATCCTCGCAACCGCGCTGCAGCTCGGCGACCGACCGGCGGAAATGCCTCGGAGTCCGCGGAGCACGGCGGTTCTTTTTGATTTGTTTCGCTGCTTGGCCCTCCACTACAAGTTAGAGAACATCGAGTTTGAGGATTGGGCTTAAAATAAACATCGTCCAAACGACGACAAGCTTCCAGACATGCAATTTTATCCGTCGTCCAAAAGACGACGACATTGCCTAAGTCCGGGGAATTGTGCCCGACGCGCCTTTGTCGCGGCGAGTTTGACTAGCTATCGCGCCATGCCATGCGCCAAGGACTCCCAAGAAGCCTCTGATTTGGACGCGGCGCATTGGGGTCGTGGAAGCTTGTGTTCCATCCTAGCTCGACTAATGTCTGTTCGCAAGTGCCTGTTGCGTGCCAGATTCCTCCATCTTGCAAGCGACAATAAGGATGATAGATGGGCGGTGGCTTTATGAAGGCGTAGTTGCTGGAGTTATATATATGCGTTCAAATGCCGCTGTAGCCTGCGATTCCGCCCAACCGCCATGGTTGGCCTGCCACTCCCAATCGGCAAATGCCTGTTCATCAACGTACTGAGGACGCACGGCGAACAAATCTGCGCGGGTCAAATTGCAATGCAATCGGGTGCTATAATAGCAAATCGCGAAGACACCCCAATTCCTAGGATTCTCCCTGAGATCAAACAACGGCTTCTCGTCGTAAAAGATTACATCTGGGTTGATTCTGCTCACCCAATCGTACCCTCTGAACAAACCTCTCGAAGCTGCCACATGCATAGCTTTCATCGCTCCTGCCTGTCTGCCAGGCTCACCACCCTCATGAACTAGAGTTTTGCGTGGCATCGGCCACTTGTTCAAGAGGTCTTGCATCAGAACATGCGTCGCGCCCGTATATTTATTCTCGCCAACGTAGAGGAGCACATCTGCCTTTGCTAATTTTGGCGAGCGTGGAAACAGATCCGCTCGGCAATTCATGAAGGTTTGGTGCTGCCGCGACCCAGTGGTTGCGACGTAGAGAAGCACGCGCATCGCCTCCACAGAAGCTGATGGTTTTGATTGAATCTCCAAGCCCGAACTACCATAATAAAGCGCAGCCTACCCAGATAGTTGTTTCGATAGCATTGCAAAAATGAAGGAAAACTGTGGAGTTGCCCCTGCCACGCGCAAGCTTTCAAGATTAAATGTACCAGCACTGTTGCGTCAAACGGTTTGAGCCAAAATGGCTACGGATGCGGAGCACGGCGGTTCTTGGGCAGCTTTGCCCGGATGTCACTGGCTCGCTCGGGCGGCGCATCGCGCGCTGCAAGCCGGCGAGACGACAATTCATCTCTTGACTGGCGGCCCCCCGGGCTTATGTCGGGCATGTCATCCTGCAAGCAATGTTTGAAAGAAATGTTAAGGATCGCCGGAACATAATTTTGCGTCGATTACAAAACCACTAATGCAAACACTTGGGGAGCCCTCGAAACGTGCATCGAAAAAAGCCGCGGCCCCTGCTGGAGGATAGCCTCGCCTGCGCGATGCCCCCCCCCCGGCGCGCGTAAAATCCACTGCGCCCCGCGCGCCGTGCAAAGGGGGCGCCCGTTCCACGCCGCGCAAAGCATGGCCGCATATATTTCGCCACAAAGAGACTCGACGCATATTCAATGGCTTGACGTTCGCCCGAGAGCGAACCGACCCAGCCGCGCACTCGGCCGACTCCGCGCGGCTCGTTGCCACTGGGCTTACTTCGAGGACGAGCGACAGACGCAGCTCGCGCCCCGCGGGCGCTCGAGGGGGGCCACCAGAAAACAGCCAATCCAAACGCGCGGACGACCCAAAGGCAATCGCCGATCGCAGCGCGCGCAGATGGCAGGCGAGAAGCGCTGCAACGTAAAAGCAAATCCGCGGGGGCTGGCGGAACGCCGCAAACTCGCCCTTTCGCTGATCGGTCGGTCGATCAAACTTCATATCGACCAGCCCCCCTCGCCACCCCACCCCGCCCCAAGTTTCAAATGCTCGCCAATCAAAACGAGGGCGGGTGAGCGGGAGAACTGCGCCAAAAATGGATGCAGAAGTCTTGGCATTCCTCCGTCTGGAAGCTGCGCAGCGCCCGCGGGGGACATCGCATGTCTGACGCGCGCGCGCGTTGAGAGCCAGTCCCCCCGCGGGATCGGGCGCGCCAAGAGGGGCCGCGACGCTCCTGCGGCGCGGAACGACATGCGCTCGGCAGCATAGCGGCGGGCTGCTCAACCCACGCGGGCACCGCATCAGCAGCGCGCGGCGAGCGCCGGGCAAACCTGACGCAGGGCATCTGAACCGCCAGCGAGCCAACTACACCATATGCCGCAGCGGCGCGATGCTGGGCGAAGGGGGGGCATTGCTGCGAAATTTTCGAATTCTCGAAGAGAGGCCGCGTGGCCCGCCCCAAGGCAATGCCCTCCGGAAAACACGCGGTGGCATATCCTGGAAGACTTGGAACTGTCGAAGATGGTAACGCGCTGCGTCCTGGGGTCTCTGATGTTTCGCATATGGTCGGCGAGCGTCCCCTGCGTTATTTTGACATCTCAGCAGTCGCCGCGGGGGCTTATCTAAAGCATCTGAAAAATTCGCACATGACAAGGGCATATTTTTGGAGCATTCTCAGAGTTCGCCAATTGCACTGGCGCGTCTTTGGAGTATTTCAAAACATAGCAAATTTCATTGGAATATCCTTGGGGCATTTGAAATGTCGCAGACGGTACTGGAGCATCTTCGGAGTATTCTGGAATTTCGGCGGTGGCACTGAAGCATCTTTTGAATATTTTGAAATGTCGCAAATGGCGCTGGAGTGTCTTTGGAATATGTAGGGTAGGTTTAGAATACTTTGGGTGCATGTTTTTGAGCGTGCGAAATCTGCGGGGACACGTTTGCTGCACGTTCGAATATTGGAAAGCTTCGGGGAGCATTTGAAAATATGGAATGTGCGGGATGTGTTGTTGCAATATGTTGCGCGCGCGTGGCGCTTGGAATCCCCAGGTCGAATATTTTGCGCGGTCGGCGAGCGCGCGACATGCTGCATTGGAGTTCGTTGTTATCTCACAGGGTATGTCGCGGGCACTCGCTCTGGGCATCCGAGGTACTACTGCTGCGCCGGCGCGCCCTGGGCGCCCCGACGGCGCCGGCGACGACTGGGGCGCGCCGCAGGCTCCCAGCCCTGCTTCACTACGCAAGCACTGGGCCCACTGATCTGCGTATATGAACACGGTATATAGGCGCGCGCGCAAGTGGGAACGCCTTTCTGCCCTGGTTGAACGCGGCCCAAACTCGACTCCGCGCGACCACCATGCCGATCCAATGGGCAAAGATTAACTCTGCTGCGCGTGTGAATTTATTTGCAAAGGTGCACACGTAGCACCAATCGTACTTTGCCCCATCACACGCCAAATTGCACCCATGTCTACTCTACCCCACTACAACGGCACATGCAAGCCCCCTCTTCGGCTTTATATCGAATTTCTGCGCCGACCAAGTCTGCCCCACTCGGATCAGGCTCTGACCTCGCCCAGCGCCCACCTGCAGTCAAACTGACTCACGGAACACCTCCAGTCCGCGCCAACCGTGCTCCGTTTTCACTCCTGCTCCACTCATATCTGCTCGACGATGGCATGGAAAGGGCCATGCCTCGCCCACTCAGGACAGCCCCATCGCGCAATGTGCCCCGCGCGATTGCCCAACACGGCCAGCGGCCGAGCGCGGGAAGCGCCGCTCATGCGCGCCACCCTCGCTGAGGGGGAGCAGGGCGGGAGGGCGCGCAAGGGCGGCGCGCGGGGGCAAGGGGGTAAAGAGGGGGTGGGGGGGCTGGAGTTTTGCGATGGGATCTCGAAAGCCAGCGGCCGCAAAGACTGATCGGGCGGATTTCGCGCGTGCGCGCGACAAGGCGGGAGAAAAGACAGGGGCCCAAATCTGGCGGGCCACTGTCGGCTGCCCAGAGGGAACTCTCGAATTGCCCACGCTGCGCGCGAATCTAATCGCAGCGCCGCGACATCCAGTCCAAGACGGCAGCGCGCGTCGGACTGTCGCCCGCCAAGTGGCCGATGTTAGTCCCCCAGACGGCGCGGGCGCTCTAAGTCAAGCACTTCCAACGCCCTGGGGGCGAGGGCGAAATTGGGGTCGCACTCCTCGACGTTCTGATTCAACCGCACTCACGCAGAGCAAGTGGCGCCGCCGCTCGTCAACCGCGGCCCTGGCTTCGCCCTCGGCCAACGTTTCCTGCGACGGCGGATGCGCTCGAGGGTGAGCGGGCCCGCCGGCGGAGGAAGCGCCAACTCGCTCCCACTTTCTCCGCTCGGCAACCCCCGCCCGCCGGAAGCGCCCGCGCCGAGGGACCGACGGCTCCGCCGGCGCGCCTCGGACTCGTCGGGCCGGATGACTGAGAGAGCGTGATCCACCGCCGCTTTACTGCGGAAATTCCCCCCCCCTCCCCCTCCGGAACCCGCCCTCCCCCCCTTCCTCCGATTATCCCAGCAAAGCAACCTAACAGCGATGTGTATAAGCATATCTGGAAGCATTCCCCTTAAGATTCAGGTGATAATCCAATTGTAGAATTCTGCTGTTCTCGCAGTCGCAGTCGCATTCGCAATGACAGTCGCAGTGGCAACGGCCTTAGGATCCAATGGAATCCTGAGGATTCCTTGGGATTCCTAAGGCATCCTTAGGCATCCATAGGAATTCTTAGGAAACCTTAGGAATCAGGTGATTCCTCAGAATTCGTGAAGAATCCGAAGGGTTCCTAAGGATTCCTGATGATGCTTAACTCTGCCTACGGATTCCTAAGGATGCCTACGGATTCCTAAGGATTCCTGGGGATTCCTATGGATTCCTACGGATGCCTCAGCCTGCCTCAGTTTCAGCCTCAGCCTTAGCCTGCCTCGGCTTGCCTCAGCCTCAGCCCCCCCTGGCCTGGAGGTACTGGGTGACAATATTAAAGGCCGTCGAGAGCTCAGAGCTGACCGTGGCCTGGCCCCCAATCGACTGGAACGACATGTCATCTATCACGCTCTTGAAGGTGACTGTGGGGCAGGTCGAGACCGCCCTGCGAAGTACCGACACGAGCAACAGCCGAGCGAGCGAGGTAGCCCCCGAGCACCCTGCAATGACCGAGCCGTTCGGATCGATGACTCTCGAGATCGCTCCCTGCCAAGACACACGCCTCGGGGAGCGATAGACCGTGCAGTAGGCCCTTATAAGAGCCTGCGGGAACGCTCGCTGCTCAGCTGCGGCTAGTAATTCAGCGTGGCTGGTGTGCTCATAGAACTTCCGAAGGTCCAGAAACAACGTCCCCGAAACTACACCTCGAGTCTCCCGAGCAAACGCAGTCATCGCATTATGGATCCATGCCGATTTGTCACACGCTGTGGAGGAGCTCATGCCCCAAAAGAAGGCCGCGTCCAACTCCCTTTTCCCAGGCCGCGCATCTGGCGTGTCGAATCCTGCTCCAAACACGGGCCCCCAGCGGTAGCAGGCCGATAGGCCTGACTCCGCCAGTTGGTTTCGAACGAAACACCACAACCACCAGCCACTAGGAAGGAACAAGGAAGGTGGAGGATAGACAAGGGAGGAAGGATGAGTGATAGCTAGCGGCTGGTATCCATGAATGCGCGACCACGTTCTGAATCTGCTCGTCCAGGGGGCGAAAGACGAGGAGGAAGAGGGAAGGTAAGGGGGAGAGATCGGAGCGAGACAAAGAACGAGGAGGGGAAACAAGGGGGGAAGGGAAACACGTAACGGAGGGTGGGAGAGCAAGGGAGGGAGGAAGAGGAGAAAAAAAGGACGACGGGCAGAAAGAAGACGGGAGGGAGCGGGGATGAGGGGACATAAGAAAGAGACGGAGGAGGAAAAAAGGAAAGAGGGAAGAGGGGCAGCCCCTGAAACGCTTAGAACCCATCGTGCATCTGACTGATTTGTATAATGTCCTTCTGACCCCCTAATATGTTTCCCTGTCCCTCCTGTTTGTTCCACCACTTATCTGGCTCAACAACTCCTCCCCGTCGCACAACCAGACGTATCCGTAGGTCTGGTTGGGCGGTTCGCCTGAGACATACTCACAGCTACACGCATGGAGGGCTGGTCGTTTTCAAAGTATGACTTTTGCCTTAGCGCTGCCCACAGTCGTCTTCAATGCATGCAACAATTACGGTGGTTGAGGGCCAGTGTTCCAAATGTGATTCCCGCCTTAGCCGCGCACGCTCGTCTTATACAGTTCCAACAATCGCAGAACATGGGGGACCAGTGGTCTTCGAAAGTTGGGTCTCGCCTTTGCGCTGCGCGCGTTGCTTCCAACCATCAAACGGACGGAAGCCAGTACAATTTCAAAATGGGGCTCTCGCGTTCTGTTTCATCAGAAAGCATCAATATCATCACAAGTGCATAATTGCGCAACAGGTCCTGGGATTGAGGGCGGATCATCTTCAAATGTGGCTGTCGCCTGAGACGTCGTGTGATTTCTTGCCCGCGCAACAGCTACACGGATGCAGGGCGGCTCCTTTACACAACGGGAATGCCGCTGGGGACTTCATTGAACTTTGAAGCCCCGCATTGTCGCATTAGTTTAGCTTGAAGGATGGAGGAGATTTCCCACAAAACGGAACTCCTCCGTGAATTGCGGGCTCAGTGGGCGCTCGTCTTTCAAGGGGTCGTTTCCCGTTGATAAAATGAATCCTTGCATGCAGCTTATGAGGAGGGGAATTGGACAGGGTGAGCGTGTGGCAGAATCGGTGAAGCATCTTGTGTGAACTCTGGTCCTCGTCCTCCTCCCTCGTCCTCCCTCCTCCCCATCCTCATCCTCCTCCTCCTCGCCCCCGTCGGAGGAGCAGGAAGAACCAGGGAGGCCTGAAAGGAGGAGGAGGAGGACTGCGAAACTAACGATAGCGACGGGATGTCTTCAGCAGCAGACGGCGGGCCCAGAACTTCCCGCAGAGGTGCCGCCGCCTCCATGAGGTCGATTTCGGCGCAGGATTCTCCTGCCCACGCCCCTCCCCAAAGACGAAGGAACAAGAAGATGATGAGGGGGAGCGGATGACGAAAGAAGACGAAGGCAACAACGACCAACACACAACATCCAAGGCCCGGGCAGCTGTCAAATGAACCTGCTGTATTACTTTGCGCTGGTGTTTCCTGCCGTCAGTTATGCCATCCGCCCCGTGCCCTCGAGCTCTCTGCAGTGAGTATTAAGGGCTTGGGCCCTGGAGGGAGGCCCAGAGGCCGAGGCGAGAATCTCTGAACAATCGTAATCCTCCGCGCGATGTTCGTAGTGTCGTTTTTCCAGCCGTGAAAACATCCAAGACGGTTCAGGAGGCCCCAAAGCCCAAACAGGGCTTGAGGGGCCCAGGCGGAGGAACTCGAAGGGGCTTCAGAGGCTCTGCATCCCAGGATGGCCCCCACGGCCAGCCCCCTGGCCCCCAAGAGACCCCCAAGAGACCTATCGAGGCACCCGAAGGCTCACGAAATGTCGCCAGGAGGACCCGAGGAGGCCCCCAAGAGGAATGCTATGAGACCCCGAAAGGCCTCTAAAAAACTTCTCTCGTCCACGACCCAAGCCCGGTGGCAGGATGGTCCGACGAACCCAACGAATGCCCTGCGCGTTCGGTGGGTGCAAACAGTACTGTCTGCAACATGTCTTGGTTAACCAATTTCGGTTGTACCTGAAAGCTCTTCCTCGGGAAGTCCAGGTACGAGTTCGAGTTGCCCAACAACGCAAAAACCGAAGCCGCACTGTCGACGGTCGTCGATCCACTCGCGGACTCGGCATGCGATGGCGCGCAAGATAACCCCTTGTCCACGCCATTGCACACCAGGGATCACCAACGAACGCTGCAAACTATCAGCGCCATTGCAACCCCGATATCTGCCCACGGCTGACTGTTCTGCTAAGTCCCCATGCGTCGCATGCAAACGCATCGTCCACACTAGCACTCCTTTCTTGGTACCTGGCAAGGGTTGCTCGTGCGCGGCCCGACGGACCTGACGCATTTGATCGCGATCTGCTGGTGTCGCCGAAGAGGCACGCCCAGCACTGCGCTCGACGCGCTTACTCGTCAAAAAGCGAGGGCCCCAGAAAAAGCCTTCTGAATTCGCAACTGATTGCCTCCAAGTCTGGCGCCAGGGCACGTGCGCAGCACGCGGTGGGCACCAGCGTTCGGCGCGCCAGCTGCTTGAACCACCCATTGCCCGCGTCCTCGATCAAAGTACTCACATCGGGCACCGCGCAAACGACATGCACTACTTCCTGGCTGTCTGGATCAACGCTCGCACCACGGATCTGTGAATGGGGTTGAAAAACAAGGGTGCAGAACCCCTGATCCGTTGGTAGAGGGAAGGAGGGATAGATGGATGTCTTTCCCTCCTGCACGATCAAAGGTCTGATCGATCTGTCCCAATACCTGAGCCCAAACGGCCAGGCGCAGGAGAGGTGAGGATAAAAAGTATATATGAGGGTAGTACACGGGTTCTATTCACACACCCCGCCCCGAATCCCGCCCGTGAGGGTAGGGCTCGGGAACAGAGGAAAAGATCCCGTCACCCTTTTACTCCTCTAATCCTCAATTTGTCAGGCAGCTGAGCGTAAGATCTGTATAGCTTCAGCTGCAAGGTAAGGTAAGAAGGAACACCCAGGGCCCCAATTTCTTCGCCAAGCACGCTTTGGTGCCCCCTCGGTGCGCCCCCAAAAAACGCTCCGGCACTCGAGGGCGGAGAAGAATGAGACACGGGTGGGCGGAGAAAGAAGATCTGAGCCAGTTAAAGCAACATCAGAATCTGCCGCGCCTAAGCGGGGCAGGTGTTGCCACCGGCTCTCTGTCGAGAGCTGGGCATCAGATCATTCTCAACGCAATGTAAGCAAAGTCTAAAGAGTAAACGATAACAATAATATATTCTAGGTTTGTGTTGATGAACACGATCGCGTTAAGAAACGCGTCTAAAGATCAAAGAAAATGTCTGGCCAGACGCAAAGTCGCGTTGATAAATTCGAAAAGTTGCATATATAAATTCTGTATTCCGCGACTCCCGTTGGCGTTGCTCCTTGGGAGGCAGCTTTCGGCATCGCAAGGATATGTGTGCGCGGCCACTTGTCTTGGATAATGAAGTGGCCTAAAATGATATGATAGCCACCGCTCGAGGCGAACTTGTATAATGATGAAGTTCAAGCCTTTCGAGCGGCGGGCCTGGCGGCCGACTCTACTACGCGTTGCCCCTCTCGTAGAACCTGCGGCCCCACATCCTGCGGCCGTCGCGCGATACGTAGCTCGTCTTGAAGGTATCCCAAGGCGCCCTCGGGATCCAGTGGCGGAACCAACCGTTGTACTGGATGACGCGGACGTATACGGACTCGTCGTTGTTGTCCGTGATGTATATCCAACATTTGATGTAGTAGCTCCAATATCTGGGGCCCCACTGGCTGTCCTCCAGGTTGCCGCGCCACCATGTAGCGTAGTCCTCCGTCGTGCGCGCCCTCTTGGCGCGGGGAGGTGTCGCAGGTCTGCGGCTGTCGTCGCTGTCCTGCCGCTGCGCTGCAGTGCCGCGCGGCCCCGCATGTAGTCCTGCGCGCCAGTGGCGCTGGACCCTGCGGCGTCGCCAGGGGCAGGGCGCGGCGGCGGCGGCGGGTGCCGCGGCATGCATGGCTCCATGGCATCATCAGAGTGTTGGGAGTGTGTATCAGGTTCGATCGGATCGGTTCTCACCCCTGAATCAACCCCCCTCTGGTCAGTGGAACCCAAGGCGGGTTCAACAGAAGCAAGCACGGCAAGCTCGCGCTGCGTGACTCTCTCACGGGTGCCATCCCCTCTAGGAAGGGCAATCGTGACAAGTCCGCGCGCCTGCCGCGTGCTTCGGTCGAGTCTGCCTGCGTTCAACCACCACTTCTTCCGACCAGCTTGGCCAGTCCTGATGCTGGTCTCGAGGATTTCACAGGCGTCGCGCATGTCCTCAATGGTATAGGCGTTCTTGCCTTTATTGACACGAGCGCCTGTCATTTGGTGGTGGAACTTCAAATCATTGAGAAAGCGCCGAACGAGGTTGGCAAAGGGATGGCATAGAGGTCTGGCGTCCTCACGCTCGCCCATCAATCTGCACATGTGTGCAGGAGGGGAGCCAGCGGCGACCCACTTCTCATACCTCTTCCTAGCAGCATTTGCCAATCTCCTCAGCACGTCTTTCTCATGTCCTGGAATGGAGCGCTTGCCCATCATGGTGACCTGCGCTCCGTCTCTCATGTACCTCGTGATGTCGTCCTGGGAGAGCGTCGTCTTGATCCAGTGGGTCAGCTTCTGGAGGTATGCCAGGTCGCTCTCGACAGCGGTACTTTTACCCGTGGCACCTACGGCAACAATGTACTGCCAGCAGATGTCGCAAACGGTACCTTCATCTGTAACGATCCCTAGAGACAAGAGGCGACCGCAATTCCGACATCGCGCGATATCATGCTGAATATCTTCTGGGGCTCCGTCAATCGTGAGGTGCTCACGGGACCCCCAGCGAGTGTCCCGACCACGAGCAAGACTGCGGCCGATCTGATCGATGGCATCGCGGTTGATATCGGCGGCCGGACGGGAAGCGATCGATCGGGTCATTCCCCCGATCTCGATCCTAGACAATATTTCCCCTGGCAATCCTACGCGCTCGGTCGTGTCGTTGTCCGCGTTGTCAGTATCACCATGGCATACGTTTTCTGTACGGATACGGTTAGCCTCTTCCTGCAAGGCGGACTCATTGTCGCCCTCCTCGCGGTCGATTCCCTTCTGCTGGGCTATGATCCGTACCATGGTTTCCTGATCTGGAGCTGCGGATGCAACGCTGCCTGGATCCTGGGGAATGTCCTGCCCCGCACCTGGGTCCTCATGTGGCGCGGCAGGTGTTTCCACCAGCTCCCTCCATACGGGGAAGCCTGGGTTGCCGAATGTCTGGATACAATGTGTAAATAGATCACGCAACGTCTTGAGTGCAGGATGGTTCTGATGAATAGCATCTTTTGTGAAATCACGAAGCTCCGCAATACTGTCCAGCAATATGATTTGATACACTTTAGAGATCCATTGGAAGACGCCTGTAGTCGACTCCTCAATGACCTCTGGGTCCAGGTAGTGTACCAACTTCTTGAAGAAGCTATCTGCACTGCAAATCGGTAAGTCACGTGCCCATTTGTGGGGTATGATTGTAATCCAAATAGTATGTCTCTGCGTTCCATGTTTTGGATCCAAATTGAATCTCAAATCGTAAGTGTGACTGTGCTTTATCCACCACAAGCTTGTCCGCGCCAGTGTGCACCTCAATGATTTGTTTCACTTTTATCATAGGTGAGTCCACCAATAACTCCGACGTCCAGCGGTATATGCGGTGGTCATATGATTGCTTAATCCACTTTGAGTCCTCCTCTGGGTCGTAGTCGGGATGGTTGAGGAAGTCCTCTGGCGGGTCGGTAATATTGTCGAGGATGCTCGCGTCGACGTGCTCATCTGCTTGGATCTCTGCTGATAAATCTGCTCTCAGGTTGTCATTTGCTGGTTTCTCCTCGGCAGTGGGTGGGATGTTTGATATATCCACAATGACGGTAACCAGAGGGTCAGCAGATTGGCCTGCCTTCTGTTGGGGTCCATCGTCTGCGGTAGCAGTATCCTCGGCAGGTGTGGCCACCAGCTCTTCGGGATCGGGTGTCCGAGGAGCGGGCCGTCTGGTCGGCGTACGTGGGATCGTGGTTTATGAATGCTCGGCATTCCGAGATATGGTAGACCACCATCTGTTTTATGCTGATGTATTTTGTCGCGGCATGAGGGTCGTCCTTCCAGCGCAGTATTTATATCTCTCGGGTCGATGTCGGCACGTACTGGCAGAGCGAAGACAACACCCTTGAGAGGCATGTTTCTGTCGTTGTACCATATGTTCACCCATCGTAAACCGTAGTTGAGGATAGGTATGTGTACCGCAAAGAACTTGTCAAAGACTCCGAAATGAATGATTGGGCCGTATATGT